TCTGCTTATCAGGAGGGGAAAATGTGCAGGTGGACTCTCTGAAGAGCACAGCACCAGTGCATTTGGCCACTGAAACCAGCAATCTATTTTGCAGATGAGGACACACACATATAGACCTATTTGTATCCAAAATAATGCCGTTGCCCACTGTATTGCACCAGAATGGGCAGGGCAGGAAAATTTCTCATAAATACATCCTTCTTAGAGTGGAATACATACTCCTGTACGCATTTCCTTTAGGTTTCAGAGTAGCAGTCTGTATCCGCAAAAAGAATAGGAGTACTTGTGGCACCTTAGAGACTAACAAATTTATATTAATTCAAGCTCAGCAGTTTTTCATTGGAGTCTGTTTTTGGAGCTTTTCGGTTGCAAAATTGCCACCCTTAAATCTTTTACTGAGTGGCCAGAGAGGTTGAAGTGTTCTCCTACCGGTTTTTGTATGTTATGATTCCTGATGTCAGATTTGGACACAAATCCATTAAATCCATTTGTGTCTATTAAATGGACACAAATCTGACATCAGGAATCATAACATTCAAAAACCGGTAGGAGAACACTTCAACCTCTCTGGCCACTCAGTAAAAGATTTAAGGGTGGCAATTTTGCAACCGAAAAGCTCCAAAAACAGACTCCAATGAAAAACTGCTGAGCTTGAATTAATATGCAAACTAGATACCATTAACTTGGGTTTGAATAGAGACTGGGAGTGGCTGGGTCATTACACATATTGAATCTATATCCTTAAGTTAAGTATCCTCACACCTTCTTGTCAACTTTCTAAATGGGCCATCTTGATTATCACTACAAAAGATTTTTTTCTCCTGCTGATAATAGCTCATCTTAACTAATTAGCCTCTCACAGTTTGTAGGGTAACTTCTAACTTATCTGTATGTATATATTTATATATATTTTACTATATGTTCCATTCTATGCATCCAATGAAGTGGGCTGTAGCCCATGAAAGCTTATCTCTAATAAATTTGTTAGTCTCTAAGGTGCCACAAGTACTCCTGTTCTTTTTGCATTTCCTTTAATAACCCTCATCCCCAGAGCAAGAGGAAGGATCAAAAGGAACAAGGCAAATGTCAACTTAATAGCTACCGTGTGGGAATGTCAACAGTGCATCTCAGAACTGATTAAATTCTATTTCAAACCCCGCTTGTAGTTAGAATATCATAATCATACTTCAAAAAGTTCTGAATAGAGCTGGCAGGAGAATGGAACTTCTGTTCACAAAGGATTCTGAGATTTCAAAAGCTGACTTCATTTCAAATTGAAATGAAACCCCAAAATTTCAAAATTCTTAAAGGAAAAATCCTGGGAAAAAATATTTTTTTAATTTTATATTACAAAATTTTAAAAGATTCAAAACAAAAAGTCACTTCAAATCAAAAAATCAAAATGTTTAATTCCAAAAATGTCAAAACAGGACATTTTGACTTTTTTAGGAGTTTTTGTTTTGTTTTTTCTCCACAATTTTGGGAAAAATTGACACCATTTTACAAAGCATTTCAATTGATGCAACTGCATTTCTTGATGGAAAATCGTTCCATCAAAGTTTTTCTGACCAGTTCTAGTTCTGAACCATATTTATAGCCTATTTTACTACACTACCTATGAAAACAGTACTTGTACAATAAGGATTGCACATGACCCAGAGAGAAGCATGAAAGGAGAAAGGAGTATAAGGTTTTCTAGAAAACCACCAGTGAGACATCTGACTCTCTGCACCATCCACATGACCAAGGTAAAGTATCAACAAAAACTTGGCCTATTCAATGACACAGCACGAGAACAAAAAAAAGGTGTAATCCAAATCCAATCCTAGAGTCTAGCAGCAAAAATAGAGACTAGCTTCAGAGTAACAGTCGTGTTAGTCTGTATTCGCAAAAAGAAAAGGAGTACTTGTGGCACCTTAGGAGACAGGCCAGTCCTTGCCTACAGACAGCCCCGCAACCTGAAGCAAATACTCACCAACAACCACATACCACACAACAGAACCACTAACCCAGGAACCTATCCTTGCAACAAAGCCCGTTGCCAACTGTGCCCACATATCTATTCAGGGGACACCATCACAGGGCCTAATAACATCAGCCACACTATCAGAGGCTCGTTCACCTGCACATCCACCAATGTGATATATGCCATCATGTGCCAGCAATGCCCCTCTGCCATTTACATTGGTCAAACTGGACAGTCTCTACATAAAAGAATAAATGGACACAAATCAGATGTCAAGAATTATAACATTCATAAACCAGTCAGAGAACACTTCAATCTCTCTGGTCACGCAATCACAGACATGAAGTTCGCTATCTTACAACAAAAAAACTTCAAATCCAGACTCCAGCGAGAAACTGCTGAATTGGAATTCATTTGCAGATTGGATACTATTAATTTAGGCTTAAATAGAGACTGGGAGTGGCTAAGTCATTATGCAAGGTAGCCTATTTCCCCTTGTTTTTTCCTAACCCCCCCCAAGACGTTCTGGTTAAACTTGGATTTAAACTTGGAGAGTGGTCAGTTTGGATGAGCTATTGCCAGCAGGAGAGTGAGTTTCTGTGTGTGTGTGTGTTTCCGGGGGGGGGGGGTGAGAAAGCCTGGATTTGTGCTGGAAATGGCCCACCTTGATTACCATGCAGATTGTAGGGAGAGTGGTCACTTTGGATAAGCTATTACCAGCAGGAGAGTGAGTTTGTGTGTGTGTTTTTTGGAGGGGGGTGAGGGGGTGAGAGAACCTGGATTTGTGCAGGAAATGGACCACCTTGATTATCATACACATTGTGAAGAGAGTGGTCACTTTGGATGGGCTATTACCAGCAGGAGAGTGAGTTTGGGGGGGGGGGGGGCGGAGGGTGAGAAAACCTGGATTTGTGCTGGAAATGGCCCAACTTGATGATCACTTTAGATAAGCTATTACCAGCAGGACAGTGGGGTGGGAGGAGGTATTGTTTCATGGTTTCTGTGTGTATATAATGTCTTCTGCAGTTTCCACGGTATGCATCCGATGAAGTGAGCTGTAGCTCACGAAAACTCATGCTCAAATAAATTGGTTAGTCTCTAAGGTGCCACAAGTACTCCTTTTCTTTTTAGAGACTAGCTTGCAATTCTTGATATTGCTATTCTGGCAACATTTTGAGTAGACAGCTCACAAACACAGTAAACATCGCATGACTGGGAAGGAAACTACAGAGGGAGCTGGGAGCAACTCTTATATTTAAGTTGCCTAATATTTCCCATTATAAGAGATATTTGCAATTATTCTTATTATTATTTTTGGTGAAGCTCTAGCATCTAGCATTGTTTGCAAAAGGCCTCCATTCAGCAGGGAGAAAGCCTGATGCCAGAGAAGAGCCTTTTATTTGTCTCATGAACTTCTGTTCAGGTTTGGCTGAGAAATTTTTGAAAACTGTCATTTCCCTTCTGTTGCTTGCATTGGCAGCAAATTTTGGCAACATGCCAAACTAACTGACCATGTACACTAATGTAAGGCTGGTCTATGGAGCAGCACACACTGCACTGGAAACCCCAGGAATAGATACCTCTTAGTGAGAGGGAGAGCGGTGTGCAAGAGAAGGCAGTCCGGGCTTCACCATGACTACTTACCAGACCTAGAACATCCCCTGACAGCACTCACCCACTCCTCCAGCAAGATACTGTCTCTGAGAGATAACCTTACTGCTAGCTACAACAATTAGCCCTATAACTTAAGCTGTGCTCAGGGTTCAGGGGCAAAACTCTACCAACAATGCATGAGGGGGAGAGTGTTGCAACTGCAAAATAGAAGTTGTTTTTACCTTTTCCTTTAAAAAAAATCATAAAAATACATATAACACTTCCCTCCCAACAACATTAAAAACAATGTTATTTAGGTTGCAAAGTCAAGCACTCAGAAGTTGGGAATTGCCATAATGAAGTCTGGTTGTGCAACCCTAGTGTGGCCCCCTGTACATATGCATTATTATGCAGTCTTTTTCCACAGGACCCCTGCCTCATTTAGTACAAAGGATGGATGGTACTTAGGAAATGAATCATGGCTATGTAATGAATCAGGTTATTTGTAGGTTCCCTGACTCATTTGCTCTAGAACTTGGAAGGTGCGTAGAGAATGAGGCAGAGCACTGCAAGAAGAGAAAGGATGGCCATGTGGTTAAGGTAGTTGAATTTCACACCGGAAAACTCAGTACTGTCCCTGCTTTTTCCAGAGAGTTCGTATGAGCAAGTCACTTAAACCAACATTTTGGCAGATGGTAATCAACTAGGTGTCCAAGCTGAGGCACTTGGGGCCCAATATGATGAAGTGCTGAGAACTCACAACTGCAATGGAAGTTAATGGGAACAGTGAGGCAATGTGATCTGGAGGAATAAACAGCATTCCAAGTCAGAAGGCCCCAGAATTTAATGCTGGTTCTACCACTGATTCACTGTGTAGCCTCAGACAAGTGTCTATGTCTTAATTTCTTCAGCTGTAAAATGGGACTAATAATGCTCTTATTTCTAGAGGAAATATGGAGTTACATTAACTAAATATATGTGAGGATCTCAGATACTAATGTGATAGGTGTCCTAGGAAAGACTGTGAAGAAACCAAATAATTCTGCACCATCATTGCAGACTAGATGGGTTCAATCTAATCTTATTTTAAATTATTCTGATCATTTTGGAGATCATTTCACCTGTTCAATGTGATCTTTAGAAATGTATGAAATTTGAATATAGATGGAATGTATGCAGTTTCCTTTCAAAATATATTTTTAATTTTGTGATGAAATTTTCCTCCCTTCCTATTGGCACCATAGCTATTTGATTCAGTACTCAAAAAAATTATAAAGGGCCTCAAACTCAGTAGTTCAGAGACCAGCACTTGTAAACAAAAAGCAAGATATTTTGTGGTCTAGTAAAACAAAAATATTTTCACTCTCAGCCAGGTAATGCAGCATATATACATCTCCACAAAAAACAGAAAAGCAACAAGTATGCACTGAAAGCTAGCAAATCTCAGTGTCTTATTGTATTTATTTTATTTTGTGTACAACATAGTCTATCATCATACTGGAAGCTTTTAGTAATAATAGACCACAGAAAATAGTACACTATAAAAAGTCCAAAATATAAAAGATGAACTCCATGTACAAAGTATATAAAAACAAATCTATAAACACCCTTATATATGGCATGAGCTAAACAGCTGTACTGATATGGTTACTGTGACTTCAGACCGCAGCTATTAAAAACATAGTAGTCATCTGCCATATCTCAGGTAAGAAGTAATTAAGCATGAACACACTAACACAATAATCACAGTGATCAAAAGTATCTGGCAACTTAGACAAATCAAATATTTTAACCACAAGTATCCAGAATAAATGACTGAAGATATCATGGAGTATACAGTACAGTGATTATACTAAAGTAGAAGGAGTGGCTAAGATTCATCAGGGCAATGTTGTTTTACAAGATAACCTTGATGGTTTAGGCAAACAGACTCAGAGATGAAACATAACATTTAGTCCCAAATTCTGCACTCAGATCTGCCTAGTAGACTCGTGTGCTTATTTGGAGTCCTATTAATTTGGTTGGGCTCTACATGGGTACAAGGGTCCACTTGCACAGACTCAACGACAGGATTGGGACCTAAATATGTAAATGCAAAAGAAGCAGTTGGATAGACATAATGGTCAAGTATAGATTAAGTGACACCAAACTAATTTATAACAAAGGAAAAGAATGTGGGTTCATTGACAGTTGCAATATTTGTATTCTTGGTCCAGTGTGCTGCAGCAATAAAGAAGAACGTGTCTTATCAAGATACTGTAGTTATAGTATACTAACTGATAGTAGTATAACCCCCTTCAGACAAACATGACTACTAGTTTTAGCACCTGTAGTACATTTGCTCACTTTCTATGTGCTCTAGCTTTTTAACATTGAGATATATTTATGATTTAAAGTGTCAGAAAGTGATATAATAAAAACAATTAATTCTTGTGTCCATTTAAAAGTTATGGGTGTTCTATATTGCTGTGTGCAGGATGAATTCACTTTCTTTGTACTAATGTTTTGCCAGTAACTAATAATAGTAGCCCATGATCAAACACACCCCAGCCTAGTGGAACATGCAACTGCCAATGAGAAAATATACTGTTTTAGACAGCAGCATGTAACATTGCAATCAAAACAATTTTTGTAATCACCTGCTCCATAAATATATTCATGAACATTTTCTTGGATAAAAGTCTGATAAATAGAATCAGTGACCTCAGATTATTGTTACTTTTCCAAACTGGAGGCCTCCAACCCAACAGGACCTTTTCATGAAAGAAATTTGTTTTTTAAAATTGTTACTCCAATTCACACACAAGGGCACCTGAACATCTGAAATCCAATACAAACAGATGATGACTTTTTGTATATCTGATCGAAAGTCAAATTTAAAATCCAGAATTTTTTTCTGTGTGAAAGAAGCTTATGAGTGAATGTACTACACTTCATTTTCAGTTCAAGACAAACATAGACGTTAAGGCCCCTGTTCTGTTAACACTGAAACTGGTGTCAGTGGGACTACCTATATATGACAGTATTGACTAAAATATCATGTAAGAAAGAAGAAGTGGTCTCTAAAATTTGTAAAAGAACTTTAACTCAGAATTTCTAGTATTTTTAGTGTTTGTGTTAGTTCAGAATGGGTATCAGCTGCCTTATCTCCATGTTAATGGAGTTTTTTGTACTGGAATATTAGCTATGTCTCAGAACATTGTGCATTGAACCTGTTAGACCATGTTTGGTGTATAGTGTCCAGTTTTGGTCACCTTATTTGAAGATATATGTCAGTATAAATTCTGGCTGCCCCTGAATAGGCATGTTTGGTGGGAAAAGACGGCAGCTCAGGGGGCCTCCCTCCATCAAGTCCGCACATACGCAGAGGTTACAGGCATAATGCTGACTGGGCACTTGTAGGAAAGAAGCATGGCCAGGGCCTCCTCCCCTGCATGACTGTAAGTATCTGGCAGCAAGTATTTGGGCAGCATAGTGTAAGAGTGCTATACAATGTGCTTCCTAAGGAATTCTGCATGTGACTGCCCTCCTTGGCTATTGCAGTTCTGTCCCTGAACAACCTGAAATTACTGAACGGCAATAAATATGGAACCCCTTGGAGGTCATTTTCAAAGAGTCACATTCCAGAGAAGAAAACCACTTTCATATTGGTCATGGAATTTTAACTTTGATCCCTTGTGCATGTGTATTATGAATCTGCAGGGCCGGCTCTAGGTTTTTTGCAGCCCCATGCAAAAAAATTTGCCACCCCAAGCTCCGAGAGCGCAACTGCCCAAGCAAAAAAAAAAAAAAAAAAGGATGGCCGGAATGCCGCCCTAGGAATTGTGCCGCCCCAAGCACGTGCTTGCTTTCCTGGTGCCTAGAACCGGTCCTATGAATCTGTCTAATTACACAATCAAATTATTTCTCAGTGTAACGTAATAGAATATATCCACAACCATAAATGCACATGTATTTCGTAACTTTTTTTGGTTATTCTTGGACACTCAATTTCTCAGTCCTAATGGTCCAGTATATCTTGTGAAAAACTTTTGATATAAGCTCTCTTCTCTATAATGGTACTAGGAATTTTACTATTTCAACCTTTGCATATGTACTATACATTTAAACAGAATTTTTTCACTTTCTTATGATAATTTATTATGAACAAAATTTATACTTGCATACTAGTGATTTGAAAGTTATGAATATTTATTTTAACACTAGTTGTACAAAGCAAATAGAAAACTCTTTTTTTCAGGTTATGACTCCCTGATTTTCAAGTTGCCTCAGCCCCATATCATGTTAAAGAAGCCCAGAGACTGTTCTAACTTATACCAGCTGGCTATGGTCCCCCCAAGGAACCGTATGCCATGGGTAGATTGCAGGCACATTTCTCCTGGCTTGACAGATTCCCCCTCAACCCAGATATGGCCCCTATGCCAGAGTGGAGGAACCGTTCTCATAAGGACATGCTAGCCAAGAGCTCCCCCATGTTGGGGGAATTCCCAGCTGATCAGTTAGGACCAGAATGAGCAAGAGAATTGCATCAATGAAGTATTATGGAGTATGACTTAGTTATTAGAAGAGTTGACTTTGTAATTTAATTGTAAACACACGTTGGTATGTAGCGCTCTTCACTACTGCTGTAAATTGACCACAAACAGCAGCAAAATCCAAGAGCCCCTTCTACAACTTAGCCTTTCTCACTGTGACACCACAAACCAAACAAACTAATCAATAAAAGAGTAAAACAAGTCCAGTCTCCAATGACTGGAGAGAAAAAAGAGCAACATATCTTTGAATATATTTTATAATTTTGGAAGGCACTCACATGCTAGGATGTGTAATAGATCAGATAATTACACTTCAGTATAGTTCTTTAAATATGGTTTTCTACGTTCTTTTCATATAAATGACTAATAAACTGTGACATATACAAAGTTGTGCACAATACAAGATGACATATACACACGGTTGTAAAACTATTCTATTATTTGAGAAACAGTATGTGATCTTGTAATTATATTATCATTATTCACATGTACAAGGAGGTGCAACTGTATCTGTGCATTCAGCCTTAACTCTGTCACCTCCCGACACATTTAACTGTGTAACCAAAAGTTACATTAGAGACAGTTTTTTGTATTTATTTTCCTAGGTTTTTTTTTTTAAAGGAAGGCTTCTGCTGGCCTTTGTCTGTGCTTATTTGTATGCAGACTTTTTAGATTGTAATCTCGTTTTAGACTATTATTCTTACATGTCAGTCAAGCACCTAGTACAGTTTTGGGCACTGTATAAATTAGGAGGTCACACACTTTGTTGCTTTTTTAGGCTGACCTCACTACACACACTAGGGGCTCCTTGCATCCCTCCATTCTCACCCATAAGCTCCCAGTGTTCCACCCTCCCTTCCCCCTCTATTTCAGGAACTTGCTGCAACTCCCCGCTACATCCCATCACTCATGCCAGGGGCTATGTTCACTCCCCATTTTCCCCTTCCCCTGCATATCACGGTTACTCAGTCTCCACCCTGCCTGGGGTTCTCTACAATCCTCTCTTTTCCTCTTCCCCATACAAGGGTCCTCCATTCTCCCCACCATGCCATGGGGCTGTATATGCCTCCTTCCCTCCACCATTCTTATTTCTCTTTGTTCTGCATGGGAGCCAGGTCTTTGATCTATAGACAACTGCAGAGGTGGTTGAAGCCCTGGTACTGCTAAACAGGTGGCAAGGTATCACATTACATTCAGACAGACAGAAAGCAATCCCATCAAGTTGAATGCAGGGACTCAGAAGCTTGGCCAATAATTTTGCATACTTTTGGAGGTGGTAACCAACTGGCATATTTGTGGTAGCTTTGCTTGGCAGGGCACTACCCTAAGAAGAAGCTGTATTTAAAGATGAGAGATTTAAAAAAAGTAATTTGTGACAATCCAATGTGACACAGAATTAAATTAAAGAAACTCATTGCTGATTTTTAACTTTTGATAATTTTAATCAAATAATGATACAATAAACCCTGATTAAATAATAACAGCTAGAAAATAATTTGTAGCAGAACATTCAATGGAGAATCAAAAATCAATATTGGAATTTTCCCAACCTATGTTAAGTCCCAATATTTTAATAAAAATCTCTAAGTGGAAGCAGTCTCCTGTGTGGCAGGAGTACTCCAACACTGCTTAAAACTCATTACACAGTTATTAGTCAATTTAGGCCAGCTACTTTGCAATAGACCTGGGCTTATAATTTGCCAGAAACTGGGAATGAGTGACAGGGAATGGATCACTTGATGATTACCTGTTCTGTTCATCCCTCTGGGGCACCTGGCATTGGCCACTGTCAGAAGATAGGATACTGTGCTAGATGGACCTTTGATCTGACCCAGTATGGCTGTTCTTGCATACTTACAGAGGTGGTAACCAGCTGGCATATGTTCTTATAACATGGCTTCTTGTGCCTTGCTCCCTAAACTAACAGGAGCTGGGAAAGTTGTGGAGGAGGCAAAACACCTATTTCACCCACATGCAGATGGCCATTCCAAGGCCTATCCACCACATCAGCCTTCTTGCTAGGCACCATTAAACACCATTTAAATGTTACCTAGCAAGAGGGCTTAAGTGGGACTTCACTGGTGCATAACACCTTGTGCTGACCCGCTGCACAATGGTGAATGTCATCCTCTGTCCCTAGAAGGGAATGAGTTGCTCATGTCAACTCATAGGAACAGCCCTAATTGGCTCCAAAGAGAATTGCATCTAGCCCTTCTCACAGGGGAAGCTGGTATGAAAAGAGCCTTGTGCAATGCAGGGAAAAACACAGAGAATCTTCAGGGGCCCCCAACCAGCATGGAGAGGACCCTGGTGAGGAATAATTAACAAAATAACATGAGGGAAATCTGACATATGCAGCATTCTTCACATGCACACACACACACACACACACAGAGGAGAGAGACACAAATAACAGGGATTGCAAGAAATCCAACTTGCTCGTCAATAGCTAAGAGACCCTATGCCACCAAAGAAAAGCTTAACATGGCTTCAGTACTTTTCAATATCCCTAGAACAGCAAAGGTAGGGGTGGGGAGAACTCAGGCAATAATCTCAGAAAGATTTGAGATTTCTGCAAAAGTGACCAGCACTTTAATAGTTCATGCTGACATTTTCATTGCTACTAAGCTTCAGTTAGTAACCCATTAAAATTAACTGGGGAGGAGGGGGTCAGTTTCCACCTCTCTTAGGGTTGTTCTTTCAATCTGTATCTGCAGACTCAAGAAAACAGCACTACATATATTCACATTTTGAAGCGTATCTTTTCATCAATAAGAGCTAGATTTTTTTTTTTTTAAATGAAAGGTTAAAACCTCTGGGGCCACCACAGAAGTGCCAGTACAGCATGCCACTGAGTTTTGGCTCACTTCAAAACTTACTATATCCAGAAGGGAATTCCCTTCTTTGTAATAAACCCAGTAAGACAAGAGCATGGAGAGGAAGCTACTGTGTGGGTTTCCCAATTAAATAAAAGTCTATAAACTTATTTTCATTATATTTAATTAATTGGCCAAGCTTGCATGCCTTACATTCATCCTGATGGCATTTCTCTGTGTGGATGCAACACAGTAACTTTTGAACGCCACAATTTCAACATTTCAGAGAGCGTTCTAGGCATCAATGGGTAGAACCTTATTGATTACAGGGGACAATGGTATGGGAGGAGGGTAACTTGGGGGACCCTGGCACTTGGCAAAGGGAGAAATGTGGGGCCCAGAGAGCCCTGGCATGGAGGGAAAGGTGGGGAATGAGGAGACACAGAACTTCTGGCATGGGAGAAGGGCATGGGGGGGCAAGGAATAAACAATTATTTACTGAGAATATTGGGGAGATTCCTACCTTGAGCCTGATCTTTCCTAATAAAGATGAGATACTCTCAGAAACTGAAACTGAACCAGTAGTGCTGGAGCAACCTGCTAGCCCAGGATCCTGTCTTCAAACAGTGGCCAATGTCAGGTGCTTCAGAAGGAATGAACAGAACAGGGAATCATCAACTGATCCATTCCATTGCCCATTCCCAGCTTCTGGCAAACAGAGGCTGGGGACGCCATCCCTGCCCATCCTGTCTGTCATAAATATAAAGGGAAGGCTAACCACCTTTAAATCCTTCCTGGCCAGAGGAAAAACCCTTTCACCTGTAAAGGGTTAAGAAGCTAAGATAACCTTGCTGGCACCTGACCAAAATAACAAATGAGGAGGCAAGATACTTTCAAAGCTGGAGGGGGGAGGGGGGAATGGAAGTTGTGCTGAATGGAATGTATATTCCTGTTTTTGTGTCTTTTTGTAAGTAGAGGGATTCTCTATGTTTTGAATCTGATTACCCTGGAAGGTATTTACCATCCTGATTTTACAGAGGTGAGTCTTTTACTTTTTCTTTAATTAAAATTCTTCTTTTAAGAACCTGATAGCTTTTTCATTGTTCTTAAGATCCAAGGGTTTGGGTCTGTGTTCAGCTATGCAAATTGGTGAGGATTTTTATCAAGCCTTCTCCAGAAAAGGCGGTGTAGTGCTTGGGGGGATATTTTTGGGGGGGAGACGTTTCCAGGTGGGCACTTCCCCTGTTATTTTTGTTAGACTCTTTGGTGGTGGCAGCATAAAGGTTCAAGGACAAAAGGTAAAAGTTTGTACCTTGGGGAAGTTTTAACCTAAGCTGGTAACAATAAGCTTAGGCGGTCTTTCATGCAGGTCCCCACATCTGTACCTTAGAGTTCAGTGTGGGGAAGGAACCTTGACACTGTCTAATAGCCATTAATGGACCTATCCTCCATGTCTAGTTCTTTTTTTCTTTTTCTTTTTTTTTAATTTTTGAGTCTTTCTTAGAGATCCAACCAAGATGAAGAAGGAAAGCTGGACAGGTGGGAGCTCATGCTTCAACAAACCCTGGATATCAACATCTCTGGACTGGGCAATAACTGTCCACTTGCTCAATATCTGGCAATCAACAGTTATTGCTTGTGCTCTCTGCTTCTTTTGTTTGATTGACTTATTGAGATTAGCAAATGATTTGACATGATACGTTTTTATGGGATCAAAGAGGTCTACCTCACCCCTTTGGAGCAGCCTGGTTACAGACTGCTTCATTTCTTGTGTGCCATTCTCTCTTATGCACAAACTTTCTGCAATTTCAGGTGGGGCCCCAGTAGATGTTGCAATGTACACAAGTGGCTGGCTGTTGTCTGGGCTTGATCCAGGTTCAATGCTAAAAGTATTTGCCATTCTTTCAGTCACAAATTTTTTAATAACTTCAACAGCAGTTTCATCTGCAACCCTGCGCTTTGTGGTAGCTTCTTTGTGGAGATCTGTGCTCAAGGATGCACTCTACACATTTATTTTGTCATAGCTGTTACAGCTGCCTTAAAATGTGCAGTCAGGAAATGCTTGGTCAGAGCCTTATCTTTTGTGTAAAGATGCTGATGCTTCACACAGTCCTTGTTGAGAAATTGCTCAATGGCTGTCATGTCGTACGCCACTGAAGGGTCTGGTAGTATGGTATACTGCTCCCTGACTATCAATTAGGGCATGTTATATTACACGGTTTCTCCTCTAGAAGTCTGGCTTCTGCTACATGTACACAACCCCGTCTAGCATAATTCACATAACCACACTGGAACATGGTACAAACAAGCTCAGACTGTCACGTGACTACAGACTTTTGCTTTAACTGAAGGTAAAAAATATACGGGAGAAAGCATAAAATATCACCTGCGGCTAAGTATTTCCCAAACACGCCTATTCTGAGCATTATCAATTGTGTTGAGGAGCTTTCTGCCAATTTTGGTGAAAATTAGACTCTGTATCTTTGAGTTATAGTCTTTTTTGTGATTTTATGATTTTTTTCAGATTGGCTGCCCTATAACGTTTAAACATTACATGACATATAAGAATTGCACCAGTTCCTGCATCTACATCCACCAGGTGATAATGACCACCAGCCTAACATGTTGTAGCAATACATTTTTTCTAGCTGATGGGTTGCCCTAACTCATTAATAAGACCCCTTTTTAAATCTGTCTGTTAGACTAATACTGCAGCCATCACAGGGGTGTCTGAAATTCATCCAGTAGCCTGGAACAGGAGTTCCCAGCATTTCATATTTGTAAATTCACTTTTAAAAACTGAAGAATGTCATTGCTTTCTGGTAATTATTGATATTACAGTAAGTGCCCCAAAAGTGCTAGGCCCTATATAGACGTATAGGAATACACCATCTGTGCTGCGAAAAGCTTGCAGTCTAAACAGGTATATCTGATATAATGGTAGCTTGTGTAAGAAACATTTTAGAAATGTAAATTCTGGACCAGTAACTTGTTTTGAGCCTGTTTCTTGCAGTGCTGCAACATGGTTGTATGTACTGTATATTATACAAAAGCAAAATTGTTTACATAAAGTATTCTAAATAGGTGAACTTGTTTTACACCTTTGAGATCAAGATTTTTATTTAAAAAAACTAGAAGAAATTAAATCAGCGAGCAAGAAAAGCAGAGCTTAATGAGAACTAAGGTAACTAGTAAGATATGGATGGTATCAAGTGTTTCCACATTAAAAGTATCTTTAGGTCTGGGCTGCCAACTTGCCAAATAAAGGTATTTACATCAGTCAGCATTATTATAAAGATACGGGTTACAAGAAATAAAAATTAATATTTAATTTTATCAATACACATGAAATAGCCTTTAAAAGGAGTAGGGGAAGAAAACTGCTGCTGCTTTACCTTCAGGCCTTGCTACACTAACAAGTTTTGTTGCCAAAAACTGGCTTTTGGCAACAAAACAGCAAGAGCGTACACACTACAATGGGACTTTTGTTGCGAAAAATGCCCAGTTTTGGCGACAAAAAAATCTTCCACCCCATGAGAGACTTTTGTCTTTTCCCCTCCCTTTATTGTCGACAAAGAGCCAGTGTAGACACTGCTGACTGTTTTGTCGACAGAACTGGCTTCCGCCAGTATCCCACAATGCCTGCCCTGATTGCTCTGCTCTGTATTTTGATCTCTGCTGCCCTGCAGGCATGCGGCCCTCCCCTTTCAAAGCTCCAGGAACTATCTGTGTGCTGCTCCGTTTGGGGAACATACAAAGAGCAAATAATTGGAATCCTCCTGTTCTGCCCTGCGCTAGGAACACAGCAGCAGGCAGATGGCTGCTGTAAGGGGAGGAGGACAGACTGCTGTGCTGCTTTGCCCTTCCTCAGCACGGAGAGCTCACAGAGCTAGTCATGATGCTGCTCTTGGCAGCTGAGGAGGCTGTGGGAGAACTCGGAGAGAATCCCAAGATACGCAGCGGTCAGCTCTTCCTTCCCACAACACTGCTCTGTGGGATACATACCCACAGTGCATTGCTCACCCTGTTGATGACGTGTCTCCAGTGTGGACATGATCTGTCGACAGAGGGAGCAAGTGTGAACACCCTTTGGCGATTTTTGTTTTGTCGACTTTTGGGTGTCAACATAAGTTTTATCAACAAAATTTGGTAGTGTAGACAAGCCCTCAGAAATGCTGGTACATTCTGTATGTCTACACTTAAAATGCTAAAGCTGCACAGCTGCAGTGACAACACTACCTACGCCAATGGAAGGGGTTTGCCCGTCAGGGTAGGTAATCCACCTCCCTGACAGGCGGTAGTTAGGTCAATGGGAGAATTCTCCCATCGATCTAGCGCTGTCTACACCAGGGGTTAAATTGGTTTAAGCTACATAGTTCAAGGGTGTGGATTTTTCACACCTCTGAGCAACATAATTATACCAAACTAATTTCCTAGTGTACACCAGGCCCTAACACTGTCTACACCTAGGTTTACATCGGCATAGCTACGTCTCTCAGGATCGTGGATTTTTTACTCCTCTGAGAGACGCAGCTATGCAGATGTAAATTTTCAGTGTAGCCCAGGCCTCAGTTCCAAATTATGCACTCAAAAGAGCTGTAGAACTTAAACCGAACAATAAGGGGTATAGTACAATAAAGGGTGGAGAAAAGGAGGACAATCCATTATTGTAAAACACTACCTATTTCAGAAAAATCTTATAAAAACACAGCACATTTAAGTAACCTACGGCACGCACATTTCCAGTGGGCAAGTACTTCATCAAGTAATAGCACAAGTATGAACAACTGCCATGCTTTTATGTAATGGCATCAGGTTTCGCTATAGGCTGCACTATTAGGCTGGCATATTCATTTAGCTTATGAGTCATGCATTGTGTAAACATCATAACAGAGATACCTACAAACTAACGAATTGTGAAAGAACTTTAACATTTCCAACTTCAGGCTTCCACCAGAGTATCACAAAATAATGTAAATATCACAAAAGCTAGTTAGCAAAAGAGGAATTATGCACTAGCCAGTAGTCAAGCCTTTGTCTTTTACAAGTCAGCCAGTAGCATTTCATAACTTTTATTTGAAACAACACCATTCACCATAATCATGCTGCAGAACACTAACAAGAAAAGGTAACATCTGAGATAGAAATTATCACTTTTATTTCAGAAACATGGCTTTTATGACCATCATCACTACAAACAATACACATCCATGCCATGGAAATAGCAAATTTGAGGTCTTTCATAGATTTTTGCTATTCTTCAGAATCTGAGCTTTCTTGCAGAGGAGGGAACGGGGGGGGGGGTGGGGATGGGGTAGAAATAACAGTGTATATAGCCCTTTGTTTTCTAAAGACAGCTTTAAAAAACAACAACAACAACAAAAAACCAGAAACATTGCCATCATGTCCAGTCTGCAGCCAAACAGAATGAAAGACTAGCACTGAGAAAAGAAGGGTGTTGTTCAGCTACAGACCTACAGCAACTTAAAAGACTAAGGCCACGTCTACACTACAAACTTTGGTTACCTCATATCATTGGTGTTGTCAGGAATCGTCTGCAGCAGAACCAGTCTCCGGGCAACATAAGGAATGCAGCTGGCATGCAGTGGGCTGCCCAGTGGCCACACTGCCTGATTGGTGGGAAGAGTCACCAGATCAACCCTTAAGACCAGCAGCAGCAGTATTTTGGCAGCTGCTCAAAGCATTCTCCCATGGCTGAGGTAGCTCTTGCTCCTGCCTTGTGCCAAGCCTTGCCCCTCTCTTGCCTCACGCCAGGTAACTCAGTTCTGACCCTTGGCTCCAATTCCTAACTTCGGACTCCAGCTCTGGCATTTGGCCTCTGACTCCAGCTCTGACCCTGGGCTCCTATTGCCGGCTACCAACTCTTGCTCGAACCACTAGGCTTGATATTTCTGCCCATCTGAGTGCACAAATGTAGTCTGTTGTGGCTACAGGTACACCAGTCGTGGTTCTCATGGGTCAGTGCATGTGTGAAGCTGTGGTTTTCCTTGCTGTGTCCCCCTGTGGAGTGGTAAGGGTAGAGATGCAGCCCGGGATGCCACGTGGTATGTTGCGGGGGCGGGGGTACAGGGAGATACCATGGAGTTCTCCAAGGTCTGCAAAGGTGAGTCTGGGATATTTGGACCTGTTGGTAAACCAGAGTCTGCAGCATTTTAATTTGCTCCCTGAAGAGACCCATTAAGTCTTGGTGTATCTCCCCCTCTCCCTGCTGGCATTCCTGGGCTTTCTTCTCTCCACTTTTTCCCTCTCCATGCCATCAGCCCTCCAGGCCCTTTGTTCACAATCTGATGCAGCACCAGCTTGCAGGACCTCACTCAGTATATCCTCCCTAGTCCTCTTCTTTCTCCTCATCAGGGTCAAGTGATCTGTGGGTGTGGAGGGGGGACCCCTCAAGGCCCCATAACAGCAACAGCTCCTGATTAAAAAACAGATCTATCATTGGGCTTACAGTCACAACAGAGAACAGGTTAGTTTCAAAACTCCCTTCCCTTACTCCCATAAAAATTTTAATACAAGACATGCTTATTAACACTTCAGCTTTGGAGCACCTCCGCACATCACCACTCTCCAGCCCATCAGGGTGAGTATGGCCTGCTGGAAGGCAGGGAATTTAAGTTGTATGAAACAATAACATACTGGTCCCTATTCCATGGGTACACATACAGGGCACTGGCACTGAATATTGGCACTATTTTCCACAGGTAGTGGTGATTTTAGCTGCTCTCTTACTCCCGAGGGTAACAAAAGGCACAGAGATGACAGCTGCTACTGGTGTCCTGAAGCTGCATGGGCCCATATGTTGCTAGCTTGTTTACTGCAACAGAGACAGCACAACTCATCACAGGATGGCATGGGAGAGTGTCTAACTGCAGGGGAAGAAATAAGGCACCCAATTCCTAGAAACCCTCAGGAGAGGACTGCAGAGTATTTCCATGAAAGTTGCATTGAGATCTCTCAGGAGGATGCAAGGGGCATCAATCGCCATGTATATAAACTGCTCTGTCCCCTCCAGCCTAGGCTAACAGGGGAATGAAAAGCAGATACCAACCCTACCTCTGTTTGTTATACTGCTACCTCTTCTCGTACGAGTAAAACAATGAAAAGTCGATACCTGTGTCTTGTTAACTTGGGGATGGGCCATTTTTACATTTAAAACACTGTAAGGGAAAAATACAGGCATATACTAACCTGAGGTCCCTTCCCCTTCAACAGGTTAGTCCATGCTCAGCTGGCAGGACTGGCTAGACAGTGCAGGTGTCTCAGGCAGGTCCTGGCTCCTTCTGTCATCTCTCTCCTGCTCCTCCTCCTTCCTGTTCATGGCAGGGGCCTGTGGCTTGGGCTCTTCGGAGACATCCACAGTAGTGCAGGGTAGTGGTGGGGTCTCCGCCAAGTACAGCCTGCAGCTTGTCATGACCTATGAGGAAAGATTGAAAAAATTGGGTTTGTTTAGTCTGGAGAAGAGAAGACAGAGGGAACATGATAACAGTTTTCAAGTACATAAAAGGTTGTTACAAGGATGAGGGAGAAAAGTTGTTTTTCTTAACCTCTGAGGATAGGACAAGAAGCAATGGGCTTAAATTGCAGCAAGGGAAATTTAGGTTGGACATTAGGAAAAACTTCCTGTCAGTGTGGTTAGGCACTGGAATAAATTGCCTAGGGAGCTTGTGAAATCTCCATCGTTGGAGATTTTTAAGAGCAGGTTAGACAAACACCTGTCAGGGATGGTCTAGATAACACTTCGTCCTTCCATGAGTGCAGGGGACTGGACTAGATGGCCTCTCGAGGTCCCTTCCAGTTCTATGATTCTATAAAAGCAGCAGGTCTGCGGCTCAGCACCAGTTTGATTGTTGGCCTCTGTGGCCTCGTGGGATGCCTGCCGTAGTTCATTTGCTTTCATGCAACACTGCTGCTGAGCCGTCATACTCCTTTGCTTGCATCCCCGGACAATCTTTTCATAGATGTTGACGCTTCTACGGCTCGCCCATAGCTGTGCCTGCACAGCCTTTTCTCCCCACAGGCCCAGGAGATCCAATATCTCCTGTCTACTCCAGGCAGGAGTGAGTCTAGTATGTAGAGCTGTTATGGTTGGTTGGCAGTTGCACACAAGGGAGAGCTGCTAGGTATGCATACCAAGATGGGCAATCAGGAAAGGTATTTCAGAAATATGCAGTGGGCTTTAAAAGGGGGGATTGCTGCCAGTCTCCATGACCCCTGGACAGTGGTGTTTACAATTGTGACAGAAAGGTCAGTGTCCAGGGAATGGGGCACTTTGGGACAGCCACTAGAGGACTGTTAAAGTCGACACAGGTTGTACAGTGTCTTCACTCCCCCTGCATCAAGCTCAGTAAGTTACCACAGCTCCACACTTTGGGGAAGGTGATTTTACTGTGTCACCATTTCAGGGTGCTTATATCAGCCAGACACAAACTGGAATGTAGACACATATGCACAGATAGGTTGACACAAGGAGACTTATTTTGGCCTAACTTTGTAATGTAGACCAGGCCTCACAGCGTTAACAGTTTCACAACATATCACATAAATTCAGCAAAAGCATTTGTCCAGTGTAGCTAGATGTACCTGGTATGCTGGCTGACGTTTCACACCTTTGAATGAATGTTCCTTAGAAAGTTACTGACGGATCACCTTCATTTTTTATTTTTAAGCAGTGGAAGTACTTAAACAACTAGATGGGATCCAGGCTGTCCTGTTCTCCTCTGTAGGAAAAGGGGCAGAATGAAACTAAGGGCTTGTTTGCATGGCGGGGTAATGCACTGTGTGAGGGTGTGGTTTCTAAAGCAGGGGTTCTCAACCTTTTTCTTTCTGAGGCCCCCCTCAACATGCTATAAAAACTCCAGGGCCCTGTGGGAAAGTGCAGGGAACTTGGGGCTCCGGGACGGGCCCTCGGGCATAGGTATAGTTTGACTTCTATTTTTGGGGGGGGGGGGGGGGGGACAGGGACCAGCAGGAATTGAGCCAGCTCCACACAGCAGGGTCCAGGAAGGCAGTGCCACCTCCACCCCCTGACTCGCCTCAGCAGGCCACTCAGCCTGTCTGGGTTGTGTGTGGTGGGAGCTCAGCTCAAACAATTTGAAAACTGCTCAGGGTGCAGGCACAGGGTAGCTAGGGGCTATGTGCAGGCACAGGGGTAGCTCAGGCAGGGGGTATCTAGGGGCTGTGTGCAAGCAGGGGGGTAGCTCAGGATGCAAGGAGGGCATAGTGAGGGACTGTGTGCATCCAAGGGATAGCTCAGGATGTAGAAAAGGGGGTAGCTAGGGGCTGTGTGCAGGCAGGGGGGTAGCTCTGGGTGCAGGGAGGGGGTAGCTAGAGGCTAGAGGGGGATGCGCCAGGTGGCAGCGCTCCCAACCCGGGTGCTCCGGGCAGCGTAGCCAGCCCCACTGCTCCCAGCCACCCTGCCTCCCTGAGGGAGGCGGGGCCGCCAGTCCTGGTGCTCCTGGCAGCGCGGCACCAGCACCAGTTGCCCTGCCTCCCGCAACCAGCTTGAGCCGGCAAAGCACTGGAATGCAGGGGGGGTGCCTGGCTTGGGGGCAGAGCATGGGCAGGGCCATGCTAGGTTGGTTAGGAAGGCACAGACTATGCCTGTCTATGATACCCGCCGCCCATGCCTGCTGTAGAAGATGGCGAGACACTGCCAAAACAGAAACCTCAATATCTGCATTAAAAAAAAAACTGTATCCTGTCACAGCAGAGTCTTTGAGAAATAAATCTTCCTCTGAGGATACTGATTCCTTCAATAAAAAAACTTCCACATCATTCTGTGAACTGCAGCAAACCAGTCTTGTCTTTCTGAGACCTTCTTGATGCATTATAACAGAAATAATAAAGGTCAAGTACATTTTCTTTGCTTTTCAGCTCACTGAAGTCACTTTGATCTTCTTCCTGAGACAATGTAATGGCAGAAACTCACCTTCTCATCCTTTCAGAGGTGCAGTTTTGATAATGAGGGGCCCCAATTTTGCCCCACATACTTGAGACTGTGTTAGGAGCAATGATGGTTCAGCTGGAGAAATCTGAGCAAGGACAACTATCTCAAAATACCTGCTCCAAGCAGGCTTTGACCACAATTTCTGAAGCGGTATTGAATATATAGTTTGTCCTTTTCTACAGTTTGACATAAAATTGTGTTTAATGCCAGTTCAGCTACACCCATAGCTGGCACCAATTTTCAGCAACAAGTAATTTTGCTAGGTTTAGGAGTATTCTACTGCAGGCCTTTAAAATAATCTAAAGTCAATTATGTTATACCTGGTTCCACTGCATTTACAGACAAGCATTTTATACTGATTTTGGTAGGAAGCTGTCATTAAAATCACATCAGAAAATCTACGTGTAAAACTGAAGTATTTCATTCCCCCCCACCCCGGACTGGAGTGCTATTCTGTGACCATTTATTAAAAACTATTTTAAATCTGATAAACCCGACTGGGGAGAGAAACTCATTTTCAAAGCGACTTGGCTGTATTCATGGCAGTTTACTCGCAATCTGAAAGCCTCTCTCCTTTAGACTACCATCTTTAAATTATAAGCTTTTTACATGTAAGAAAGGGGGTATTTGTGAAACCAAGTTGACAATTTCCTCTTAAAATAAGAGTCTAAAGTTAAGGGTATTTTAACCAACAAGTGGAAGTGAGTACTAGTCTCTCTAAGGTTCTGATTGTGCAAACACTTGCACACCTGCTTAACAGTATTCACATGAGTAATATCATTGAAGTCAATGGGACTATAGACACAAGTAAAGCTAAGTATCTGCATAAACATTTGATGAATTGGAGCCCACATTTACAAAGAGACTGGAAAGAAATGCAAAGGATGTTAATGTATTAAAATTACAAATACTCCTTATTCAACAGTAGAATTCTCAGAGAAACTTCTACTACTTTCAAGATTTTTCGTGTTTAAGATACAGAAACATGCGTGTGTCCACAAATATATTTTTATACACATAACTGACCCAATGTTCTAGTGACAAAGCAGACTGCTACCACACAGGGTTCCAAATCTGGGCGCCCCATTGCACAGGTTAACAGGCAATAGTAGCAACCCTACCTCAACCCTTCTGAAAGGAGTTCATTCTCTTTACTCTTAAGTAAGCCCCTATTTGACTGATGCTCAGAGCACTCAACCTGGGTTGGCAAGACAGAAAATTCCCACAATGCAGGGGGGCTGGGAGGGGGAGTTAAAGTGTGAATGGAAGCAAAGGAAAGTAAAATAGTTAAAGTACCTGATTAAACACTGTGTTTTAAATAAGACGACTTAGTAATAGAAGAGTAAAATAACATGTATTTGTACAGATTTAAACTAGGTACAGTACCCACATAGTTTAATGGCAATATTTGCAGCGTAAAAGCAAAAGCAAAGAGGAGTCCTTGTGGCACCTTAGAGACTAACACATTTATTTGGGCATAAGCTTTGGTGGGCTAAAACCCACTTCATCAGATGCATTACCAAGTGGGGGGTCAGTGCTAATGAGCCAATTCAATTAAGATGGAAGTGGCCTATTCTCAACAGTTTACAAGAAGGAGTGAATACCAAGGGCGGAAAAATCACTTTTGTAGTGCTAATGAGGCCAATGTAATCAAGGTGGCCCATTTCAACCAGTTGACAAGAAGGTGTGAGTATCAGCAGGGGGAAAGAAAAGGAGTACTTGTGGCACCTTAGAGACTAACCAATTTATTTGAGCATGAGCTTTCGTGAGCTACAGCTAGCTCACGAAAGCTCATGCTCAAATAAATTGGTTAGTCGCTAAGGTGCCACAAGTACTCCTTTTCTTTTTGCGAATACAGACTAACACGGCTGTTCCTCTGAAAGCAGGGGGAAAGTTTTTGTAGTGACCCATCCACTCCCGGTCTTTATTCAGGCCTAATTTGATGGTGTCCAGTTTGCAAATTAATTCCAGTTCTGCAGTTTCTCATTGAGTCTGTTTTTGAAGTTTTTTCAAAGTTTTTTTGTTGAAGAATTGAATTGGAACCTTAATTGAATTAGCTCGTTAGCACTGACCCCCTCTTCCCCATTCTGTTGCATATGATGTCTTGTTCTATGACTCATGATACTTTGACTGAAGTATTTCACAGGGTGCACTACTCTTTTCACCCAAATGCAGAGAGTCCTAGTCAGGCCCTGTACACACCTAAGCACTTGCACAGCGAAAATAGCTGTAAAAATGAAACCTTTTTGATGCTACAGATCTGCATCAGGAGTATAATCAGAATATTTTAGTGCCAAAAGTAAGTTTGTAATTTTTTTCTCCTTGCTGTTAACCTGCAGGGCAAGCACAGCTAAGCACAGCAATGGTCACATAAACACCACCCTATACCAGAAACCTACTGACCATACTTACCTACATGTCTCCAGCTTTCACCAGACCACATCATATGACCCATTGTCTACAGCCAAGCTATTAGATACAACTGTATTTGCTCCAATACCTCAGACAGAGACAAATACCTACAGGATCTCTATCAAGCATTCTTAAAACTACAATATCTGCCTGGTTAAGTGAAGAAACAGATTGACAGAGCCAGAAGGGTACCCAGAAGTCACCTACTACTAGATAGGCCCAACAAGGAAAGTAACAGAACACCACTAGCCATCACCTACAGCCCCCAACTAAAACCTCTCCAGCCTATCATCAAGGATCTACAACCTATCCTGAAGGATGATCCCTCACTCTCACAGACCTTGGGAGACAGACCAGTCCTTACTTACAGACAGCCCCCCAGCCCGAAGCAAATACTCACCAGCAACTACGCACCACACAACAAAAACACTAACCCAGGAACCAATCCCTGCAACAAACCCCATTGCCAACTCTATCCACATATCTATTCAAGGGACATCATCATAGGACCTAACCACACCAGCCACACCATCAGGGGCTCATTCACCTGCACATCTACCAATGTGATATATGCCATCTTGTGCCAGCAATGCTCCTCTGCCGTGTACATTGGCCAAACCGGACAGTCTCTACGCAAAAGAATAAATGGACACAAATCAGATGTCAAGAATTATAATTTTTTTCGCAGGAGTGGGTGGGTGAAATTCTGTGGCCTGCGCTGTGCAGGAGGCCAGACTAGATGATCATAATGGTCCCTTCTGACCTTAGTATCTATGAACATTCAAAAACCAGTAGGAGAACACTTCAAACTCCCTGGTCATTCAATAACAGACCTAAAAGTGGCAATTCTTCAACAAAAAAACTTCAAAAACAGGCTCCAATGTGAAACTGCAGAACTATAATTAATTTGCAAACTGGACACCAGCAAATTAGGCCTGAATAAAGACTGGGTCATTGCAAAACCTAAAACTAATTTCCCCCATACTAATTTTCCCCTGCTGTTACTCACACCTTCTTGTCAACTGTTTGAAATCAGCCACTCTCATTACCATTACAAAAGTGATTTTTCCTCCCTAGGTATCCTACCGCTAATTGAATTGTCTCGTTAGACTGACCTCCCACTTGGTAAGGCAACTCCCATCCTTTCATGTGCTGTGTATTTATACCTGCTCCTGTATTTTCACCTCCATGCATCTGATGAAGTGGGTTTTAGCCCATGAAAGCTTATGCCCAAATAAATGTGTTAGTCTATAAGGTGCACAAAGGACTCCTCGTTGTTTTCATCAAATCAAGATTACTATTATGTAAATATAGTTTCACTGGATGTACAGAAAATTCCACACATAACGCATGACCCTC